AGGGACTTAGTCAAGGCAAGATACCATGTTACGATACGGGACAAAGTTGAAATGTGATGTAGATAGCAAAATAAGAAAAAAAGGGGACTAATTGTTCAAATTACAAAGGGGTTTTGGGAGGCACGATCGCCCTTCAGCGATTGAGAAACCCCGCTATCATTTCAACATAGCATCCAATAATAATCAGTTACTGTGATGGAAGAAGCTGCCGAGATCTTGTCTCACATGTAATTCTCCACGCCTCATATACAATCCTTTAGACGAGGCTTACTGATACCGTTGAATGTTTGTCCTTATTCGGATACTTCCACAAGCACATAGAGATATCCTATGACGCCTAACACAAGGAGTCCATAAGATATAGAAAGGACAGCTGTCACTGGGATGTTTACTAATAACGGTAATACTTCCAGTGTGAATGCAACCAGCATCCCTAAAAGGAGAATCAGACGATATACTTCAATCCGCAGTAGCCAGTACTCACTCTTCCGAATATGCAGATGGTGTTTACCCCTTCGTACGGAATTCTATGCCTTATATGATAAGGACGAGGCGGGACGATGTAGAATTCTTCGGCATGTGTGTACTAGTTTTGCCGCTGTGATCTTACGTATTGGATCGCAAACCGAATTAATGACTTCGTGGTATTGCTTGAGGATTATAGTACGGATTGGACAAATGCTTTCTGATGATTCAGGATTTTTATTATTGCGATACTTACTAAGATTCTTCGTTTCAGTTGTTGAAGTATCGTATGGATTTTTCGCAATTCCCCTTACATTTTCGGGAGATATCTTGCTTGATTTTTTACTTCGGTGCTGAAAGTTTTATCTCTCATTGATAAAGTCTCTTGGACAGGCACACTTAATTATCTATGATATTCTGTGATAATGCTGATTCCGGTAGTTAGAACTCTCTGTTTTATGTATCCAATCTCTTGAAGAATCCGTTGTAGAATGTCCATATTATGTCTAATCATAACGATTTGTATGTTTCGTATGTCGTGTAAGAAAGAATTACCCGGTTTTCTATCCCCTGATAATCCTTTTTTTCAGCTTTCACACATTATTGCTTCATTATTTGTGAGTTCCTGTATAGTATGCGCCGGGCAGCGCCTATCTAGAATATTCCCAGTATGTGTGAGACTTTGTTTCTGAAAATCGTCTAACAAAAACTCATTACAGGAACTGTCAATATTGCCTTTATTTTTCAGGATATATGTATAATCCATTCAGAGAGCAGAACTTTAAGCATATGCTAATTTCAAGTGTTTCTGAACATGTTTCCATAATAGCCTAGTATTCCTGAGGCGAACAGTGCCAGTATGCCTACTCGGGGTTGTCATATGTCCATGCCCTGATCCTTCCAGGGACGAATTATGAGCAGGATTTTGGTACATCATGGGAGATGATGTCTTCATGTGTTATAAATATGATAAAGCCGTTCATTCGATAATGAGGAGGGAATAGCTTGTCTCAATTGATAGGGGACATTTGATAGTTATGATGCCGTTATCATACGCAAACCATAATAATACAGAGGTTATCCTAGAAATTCCTTCCAGAATTCGGAATTCCATTATTCGATTCTTGTCTTAATTTCTCTCTGGTTGATGTCATGTTTTTCAGCACATTATTCTATATGATATATGCCAATATCCCTATATGTACTTCTCCATTTATATCTATACCAGCATTTTTGGACTTATTCATATATGAATATTTATAAAGATACAGGGCTGGTTCTTTATAATTATAGGGATTTATACATTCATATGGATTCATAATTATCGACATAGAACTGCACAGGAGCAGAAAGGGAAGAACTCTGATTTCTCTATTGCCTGTGGCATTTTGAAATACTGAGTTTATGTTGGCGCATAAATTTCTCCCTTGTGTTTTATCTCTACCTTCTGTTTCATCTATATGTAGACTGGGGGATATAGGAGTTCATCACATTTAGGTATGTGACGCGTAACCTATCAAGGGAGGACTGAGGGCTTCTCAGAAAGAAGGGGTATCCTCAGCATCAAATTCTGTTATACTCTTTTGGTTAATGATAATAACAAGGCATAATTCAACAGTCACTTTTATGTAATATTAATATTATAATATAGAAGACGGCGGAGAATATATTCTTAATAGACGAATGGAGGACAGAATAATTAAGATTCATGACATGTTGGGATTGCTATTCGGCGGCTGTCCTTAGGATTCATCTGTTTTGTGACCACTTTCACGGTTTTACTATGTAGGGTTTATTGTTTGGGTTGTATGTTTTGGGGTTCAGGATTCATGGTTTAGGTTTCAGCCTATATGGTGTACTTGTGATGCTTCTGCCTTATGGTGTATTGGAACCCTCTATCGTTCATCCCTAGGTTTAATTCTTCATGGCTACGGCGTCATTTCTGTCCTTCTCGGTTATCTTCTTTCTATTACCGCTTAGGATCCTGTTCTATATTTCGGCGTCTCCCGTTTTAGATTTCATGATTGCCCCTTTATCCTTATGATATACCGCCGAGTGGATACCTTCAGGATTTATCTGTTCCTGATGAATTATATGGTTTCCCTGGCACGCCCCAGGTGTACCATGGAGAGTCTATGAGTACTGTTTTTTGCTCAGGTATATGTGCTATGGCGCCTGCCTTAAGGTGGCTTGTTGCATTTTATCCTATCATTCCTCAGTGTATCTTCCTGAAGGCTGTTTCATTATGCATCACGTGTACTTTTTACAGCTGTTAATCTGTGGCGTCATGGTCAACTGCTTGTTCTTTAGTTTCTATGGTTTCTATTTCTTTTCTATCACTTAGTCTTGAACGTTGTGTCTGTATGGTGTATGATCTATTGTGTAGGCCTTATCGCTATGGGGTCATCTTCCCTGTTTTTCGTTCTGTCATCACCTTTTAAAGTGTATTCTTTACGGTTCACCATTTAATGCTGTCTGCTGTGGTCTTATATTCTGGACTTTGCGCTGCCTTTCATGGCCATCATCGGCCACTTCGTGTGTCCAAGTGGTGTCCTTCCCCCTTTGAGTTACCTTATGATGTTCCTGTGTCCTTGGTAATCGTGTCCCTACTGGCACTTTTCAAGGTGTTTCTTCTTATTTCTTCTTTATGGTCTCTTCTTATGTGTTTGGGAAGATATAATAAGACATATATTTGCAGATTCTTTATTATCCTGCCCATATTCAATATATCCTAAGTGTCTTAATATAAAAATACGAAACAGGCAATGTATAGACTCTGCCCGTTTCCTGTCTTGAGATATATAGACAGTGGCAAGAGTCTTACTGACCTAGGGCTACTTTCCTGGCTTTTTTATTCTCATCCTCTCCCCATAGGATATATTTGTAAAATCGGTGAGTTATACATGCGGCGATGACACGCCTAATTATAAAGCACATATTCATCTAGATTAATGTTAATCCATAGTGTTGTAAGATCTGTTGCTCAGGAGTTGTCCCTCATATTAGAATGTGTATCTTCCTCTTTTTCTATGTCATTAGTGAACTCTTGTTAATGATATGGTTACTATCTGATGGGTACACAAGACTTTTGTGGTTTGAGGATTCTTTGAATGTTTTTAT